GTCCCTCCTCAAGCCGTGGTATCGTCCGACGCTCAAGGAGAGGGAGAGCGCAGTTGTTGGCTGCAGGTCGCTCGGAGAGTGACGCACACGGCGGCTGAGGACACAACACTAGAACCCGTCTCTATTCTGTCTCTGCTGCTCAGAGTGCGAGTCCGATCCTCTCCTCATCTCTGCTGGCATTGCCACCAACTTGGGGGAATACAAACATCTTCGAAGGTAAAAGGAAAATCACTTTTTCTTTCTTTTCTTTGGCAGAATACCTGAAATGACGGACGCAGAAGCACTTTTTAGGTGTGTTGTGCGCCTGTTTCCAGCTTTAGATTTGCCGTTACGGGCGACATGGATGTGTTGAGGTGCTGTATTTTTTCAACTGGAGACACAATCAACACAATAGCCCGCTTTAGCTTGAGTAACCTGCTCAGATAGAATAAAAAAAAATCCTCCTCCATCATTAATGCGTTGGCTGCTCGCTGTGGGGTCCGTTTTTCTCTGGACCGTTTTCCATCAGAGCGGGGTTCGAGCAATGTGGCGTTTTCTTATTCCTAATGTCCAACACTTTTCTGCGCTTTTGCCCACTTTGACTGTTTCGGGCGAGGTGATTGTCCGTTCATAGCATGTGTTATTCAGAGCAGTTTAGCAGTTCCTTTATGCCGCTCCAGTTTTACTTTCCACTCACGTTTCATCTCAGGATCAGAGGAGCATTTGTGGGCTGCAGGAGCTGCCTGTGCCTGCCACATTAGCGCCGTCTCAAACTTACTTTGTGCTGCACGCTGCCCTGTACAGCCCGATCCACACGAGATGTGAACTTTAACAATAATCCTCTGGGGGAAACTCCATTGATATGATCTTTCGGGGATATGGATTGTCTAAGTGGTGTGCGTCTCAATCGTATTGTTTTCTCAAATTGTCAATAATCCAACGTGGTGACCTAATTTGGACCACAAACATGCGGCGTAAAATTTACCATCTTGTTGTCCTTTTTCCACTTTCACTAGTGTATTTTGTCGTCCGACTTCAAACTGCCTATAGTGACCTCATTGCTTATCAATTCCAATTAACAAATGAGCTTTTACGCGCGTAATGTGCCGCCTTTGCGCACATTGCGAGGTTTTTTAAATCCGTTCTTTTATTCTTTCCAAATTCCAGCAAACGTCCGTGGGACTAATTCTGCATGAAAACACAGAAAATCTGCTCAGAAAGTCATTATTCATGAGCTTGTCACTTGGTTGAATTGCCTCTCCATTTCTTCCCCCGACACACGCACAGACATTCCAGATCTGTTTTATTTTAAATTCTAAGGAGGGATAAGTGTACATCAGAAAGCCTCCCAGAGTGGGGGTGTCGAACAAAGAAATACAGTACTGTAAAATAGGACATTTTCCTCCTGCATGTGTTTAAGTTGATTGTTCTGAAATGCATTGTTGGAGCGGGAGGCTGGCTGTGTGGCTGCAGAGCGACAGAGGGCAGTGTTGAGCGGCACTGTACAGCGGTGATAACACCTTGCCAGGTGAAGTTTGCTGCATCATGTGCTGGACTGTCTGCTGTGCTTTCCACAAGTGAGCACAGAGACAGTTCTGCAGAGCAGCTTGTCTGTGTGCCGGAGCAAAGGTGCAGCACTCATCCAGGCTTGGACAAATGAAAACATATAGGAGCTGACTGCTTTAATGGATTGTTGCCTGTATGATTATTATTTTATTTTTATTTTTTTTGCTTCAGGTGATTAAATGTCAAGCACTTTTGAACAAGCTTTTATCTGCAGGCGGTTCACGGGGGAACAGCTTTCAGAGACATTTAGTCAATAGCTGGCATTTTTAGGCTTAAAAAATCATATTCACTTGAGTAAATTAATCAAACAACTTATTCACTTGAAAGCAATTTTCCACCACCAGTAACCACCACCACTGCGGCTTTTAGAAGCTTTTTTAAAACTGCACTCTTTTCTCATCTGTAATTTTATTGAGCTTCAGTAGTTCAGTGTCTTCAACAGTGTCAATGAAGGACACTGTATTATTCATTAAAACTCAAACGGCTCTCAAATGCAAGTAAGCATCGCTGGTTTGAGTTTTGGGAAATGTGTCAGATTACATATTAAATTTGTGTTGGAGTTAAGCTTTTTTAAAGCACTGAGCTTCTCTTTGAAATTTGCCATGGAAAGAGAATATTTATATAGTTGATTCAATTAGACAAATATTCATAATATTAGTTTGCTACAGTATTATCCCTCTCCGTAGACACAGAATCCTGTTTTATTCAGTCCTGTCTCATATCTTAACAACCCAATTCTCCCCGTCTGGAATTCAAAAGTTGGCACAACTCTTGCCTTTATTTTGATCATTAATCAACACGTGTGAAAGTCCTGTATCTCCCCCCATCTTTTGATTGATATTCATATATTCTTACAGGTTTTGTCAGGCCCGCATGCTTGTCTTATGGATGATTAACGCTTGTGTTATATGAAGAGCTGTTTCAGTATCCTGGGTCAGTCCTTTTCAAATGGAAAACAGGTTTTCATCTTTGATGAACTTATGAGGGCTCTTGACAGGTCCCAGTGGGGGGGAACCAGACCAGCAGAGAGAAAAGAGATCTGAAACAAAACACAAACTGGATGGACCCCCCACCCCCCACCCCAACTCCTCTTAGACCACCTCTATGTTCACTTTCCCCTGCTTTCTAATTTCTCTCCTTGATGTCCTTGTAGTTACAGTGTGTGAAAGTGTTTTTGATTATATGCAAGAGGTCTGTATCTTTGTGGCATCTGATGTCGACATAAATAATTCATTTTCATTAACAAATATGGTAGGTGTGGAGTAGGTGAACGGGCAGCCTCTTCATCAAATTTTTAATGATGCATATTTAAACTGTGCCATGCGGATTATTTCTGTTGTGGGGCATCATTTGAGAGGGGCCAAACGGATATGAAAGTTTAATGTCCGGAGAACTTGATCCTCTCCTCTCCATCCGATATTGCCTCTCTAAGAAAAAAAAAAAAAACACTGCCATGTTCAGTATGGTCTGACCTCCACGAGTGTGTCAGTGTTGATGTCTGTGTCTGTCTAAAGAGATAACAGACAAACATAGATAACAAATATGATTCGGTCTGGTCTGAGGTAACTCTCTTCATACAGCTACCCTTCACATATCTTCAAACTAGAAAATACATTTTAAGGAAAAAATAATCTGTCTTCCCAGAGTTGACAGACTGTTTTGTCATTTCAAAGTGCAGCGTTTCACAGACCAAAACCAAGGCGGAAAGTGACAACTTCTACAGCATATTTCTGCTGTTAGTCTGTCATTCAACTGTTTGGCTTCTCATGCACGTCAAACAAGCACTCCGGGACATCTGTCACTGCTCATGAACCAGACCTCAGTTTATGTATGCGCTGTAACACTTCACACTCTTTTTATGAATCCTGACTTGAGAGCGGCCATGACAAAGATGCATTTGCACGCTTTAAAACCCAGGAAGGATGCTCTAAGAAGTGAACTGCTGCGAGGCAGCGAGTGCCTAGCTGAGACGTGCTCTGCAGGCCGTTGATCTTGATTTTGCTCCCCCATTTTTTTACACTCGTGAACCTGGTATGTGAAAGTGAAGCAGAGAGATTGTAGACTTTTAAAGTGGCCTTCTTGAGCAGGATTCACATGGTAATTAGGTCAGGGCACGCTGAGGAAAAACAAAGCTGTCTGCATGCAGAGAGCACAGCAAAAGTAGCGCATTTTTGTTAAGATGTTTCAAGGAGAGTGAAGAGACACACAGAGAGATGCTTCCTTAAAGTGGCTGTATATATTCAGAATACTGCAGCCACATTGGACTGTCTGTTGCTCTCTGTTATGTAAATATAATGCCAGATTTGAAATCACAGTTTCAGGCGATGTGACTTGTGGTGGCAGGCCTGGCTGCAATATTCACTGTGGTCTTTATACCCAGAATACCAAGCTCTGCTGCCTTGTCACCTGAATGTGATTATGCTGTCCCACAGTGCTGACATAAATGTTGCCATTTTCCATTCACACGCTCTCTCCGAAGCCCGATTGAGGTGATTGAGGTCCTGCACCAAAGCACTCCTCATTTCAAATGCAATCACTCCTCCGCTCCTCAGTCGACTTGTGCAGAAACATGCAAATTTTGGCTGAATTTCTTTTTTGTAGCTTGACGTGAGTGTTCTGTGGTCACTTTCACTGTAGCTAGACAGACACACTTTGCTTCACTCCAACTGCACCCTGATAAGAATCTGACTTCTACTTTAGTTCAGTCTTTTGTTCTTAGGTGATGGGAATGTGCAGTTGTGATAACCAGACAGTTTGAGCCGTCAGCAGAGGGAGGCGAGCGGTCTGCATGGTGCAGTCTGAGCCAGTGGGTGGAAATGAATAATTCCACCATGTCTGTCTGGGTCCCCTCAGCCTCCCAGGATCTCATTGTTTCTGAATGCAGAGTGCACTTTGCGTGGCCTTCACTTGCAGTGTCTGTCTGTTTGTAACCTGGCCTTTCTCTCTCTCTCTCTCTCTCTCTCTCTCGGTGCCTCAACACACAACCTCACCGTCTGTGAAATCTGATACAGCTGCAGCTCTCTGCACTCTGTCTGCAACCCTGCTAATTAATGCTTGATGCGACTCAACAGTCTCAATTTGTCTCTGGAACGTTATCGTCATTGTTTGCCCTCCCCTCTGCCTGTGTTGTTATTACCTTACTTTTACAAAAAAAAGGGAATAGAGATGAAAGGGCAAGCAGTCTGTCAAGCAGAAAAATAAGCAGCATGTTCCACCTGGTATTTTTTTGTGTGTTAAATGTGGTTCTAAAAAGATTATATGATAGATCAGTACATCACTTAGAGCATTTATCATGCAACAATGTCAAACCTTTCTTCTTCTTACACGTGAGGATTTGCTGCTTTTCTCTGTGTTACAGAATATAACTGTAAATTGAATATCTTTGGTTTTGGACCATCAGACAGAACAAGCAATTTGAAGATGTCTCTGCAGGGGCAGATTTAAAGAAATATTCATGGAGAAAAATATGCTGATATAATGGCAAACAATCACATATATAAATATATGCTTGAAACTCAAAAACATTACATAATTGTGGCACGAAGTTAAGCATTGATTAGAAATATTTAAAGGTGGCTTTAGACATCAATAATTATGTTTTGCATTGAACCTAAGCCAATTACTTATCTGAAATGTTGCCATAATAGACCATTAAAGGATATGTGTTAATT